GATAACAATGACTTATTAAATAAAGAGGTTATAGCTGGAGTGAGTATGAATGCACACTTCTTTAAAAATAATGGCGAAATTTCATCAGGACCAATGCTGTTTTATAACTAATATTCCAAAGTTCATTAAAAATGTCTATCTGTTTTAATTCAATTTTATTAATTGTTCCGATATTATTTTGTTTTAAATTAGTTTCTGGGCAGGTTATATCATTTGTGATGTATGTATTAGAGAAGTATTCTTTAAATAAATTAACAATATCGTTACCATTATTAACTTCTTTATCTAGGTATGACATAGTGTTTGGTAATTTGTGACTATTTTTATTATTTTCATTTACAAATTTCCAAAACAATTTTGGATTTGATTTAACCGCATTCTATGAGATTTGTATGTGTAATGTATAATCACGATACCTCAAGTGCTTACATTTGGTTCGTAGATTAGAAAATTTCTGATAATTTTTTATGTTGTTTGAGTACTTATAAATATTATGAGCAATTTTTTTTTGTTTTATAAGAGTTCTAAATTCCTTACTAAACCATTTCGGATATTCGGGTTCGCGATTTTGAAATTTAGGAATAAAGTGATCCATAATATAACGAATATGATAATAAAATAAATTTAAACAGTTTTCGATGCTATTTTTATTAAAATATTCTATAAAATCAACATTTCCTAGATATTTAATAATTAAAATGTAATTACCTGCACGCCAATTATACGTATAATCATAACAAGATAGATAATTAGTAATATGATGTGTAAAAGTAACAGTTAATGGAGGGTGATATATATCAATAGGTATATTTGGATTAATACATAAATCGACATCAGTAGTGGTAAAATTTGTTAAGACGTAATCTAGGATAGTATTTTTATTATTTTTTATACAATTTAATTGAGATAGGTTTAAAAGTGCTAATTTATCATCAAAATAAGAGTATACGTTTGAAAAATTTGCTGACGGTAAGTTAAAGTCTCCAAACAGTAAGAAAATAGCATTTTGGTATTTTTTATACAATAATTCGATATAATCAAAGTAAGAATTATATTCATTTTCATTAGATTTATTTGGAATATACACAGAACCAATAATAATAGTGATATTAGAAATATTTAAAAGTACAAATATAATTCTATAAAATTATTTTCAACTAAGATAAGCTTTGAATGAAGATTATTTCGAACAGCGATAAGTATTCAACAATACGTACACCTCCAGCCAACATCAACAAAAAAGTTGCTTCAAGAAAAGAATTTTTTGCTTTAAATAATTGTTTGTTGAATGAATTAAATGAAAAATTCACTCAGTCTGGGTTAGACAAAGTAGTATCAATGGAAACTATTTTGATACGTACAATCAATAGAGAAAAAATTAAACCAAGTGAAATAAAAGAAACTTCTTGGTATTCACGTAATTGATTTTAATGTAGATCAATTAGCTGCTCAGTTAATAATGCTTCCCTATATTTTAAATTCTGATAATCCCTCAGCAACAATAAAATTTATTGTTGAAATATTTAAAATGTTGCCAGAAACTTCACGTCAATCGATGAATCAAATTGAACGGCTTATTATACTGTTATACACAATACCTGCAACATCAGCCACACCAATAAGGTCATTTAGTGGGCTCAGGCGTTTTAAAACCTATACACGTTTAACTATGAGTCAAAAACGTTTGACTCATTTGTTACTATTACACTTAAACCAAAGTATTTTCTATGAGATTTCCTTGAATGATATCCTAAAAGAGTTCATTAGCCGTATAGCAGAGAAAAAAAGTGTATTTGGCAAAATGTAAATTATTCATAAAAATATAAATTGTATATTATATTTTTTAATATTGTATAATAAAATATAGCTATGTTATTTTTGTTTAAAGATTGTACAGTAAAAAAACTGTGTATGTGAAAAATTTAATTACAACTGTAATTTGTATTGTTAATAAATGTTGTTATGCCTAAATTTTTATACCTACATGATTTGAATTTGTTTGATAAATATTTGAAAGAAAAAAATGTTATTATACATGTGTACACATTTCCTCAGCATAGGTGCTGTAAAAATTGGGGAAGGAATGGAAATTAAGCACCAAAAAACACCCCTATTTTTGCTCCTATAACCTCTAGAAAAAAAGCTTAAAATATTTTGTCCCCACAGCAATAAAATATTTCCGGCGCCCCTGATTATACATCACTATACATTTCATCGGATGCCGATTAACAGGAATTGATTGGTTATTAAACTGTATTTACAATATATTAATTCTATTTTAAATACATTACATATTTAATAGGATAAAAAATGTTTTTTTTTTTTTTGGAGAAAAGTAGGTAGGCCCGGACCTACGCCACTGATTACATCCCTGGTTATATGTAAGAATATCTACAATATGTAAATAACAAACTCAGAGAATCAATTTAACTAATAAAAACTCAGAAATTTAGTTTAAATGTTTAGTTTTTTATTTTTTCTCGACTTTTTAATTAAATCAAGTGATACTCGTTTCAATCAAAGCTTTATTGATATTCTAACAGTTAAAGGATTTATGTCAATTTAAATTTGTACAATGAAAAAAAGATAATAAAAACTGCTAAAATATATGCTTACAATTTCCATAATGAAACATCTTTACTCAGAGCTGAGCTGTCTATATGAAGACAACTATTAGAAAAAAAAAGTACTAAACTACAATCAATTTCTAGTATTAAATCAATCTCTCATTGCACAAACCTTCTACTAAACATTCAAATTTTTTACGATTATTTGCCACATTGCCAGTTCTTCCATCTCTGAAAATATATTTTCTGCACTGAACTGTTTAAAAATCTATTTATAAATCACTATGTCAAAACGTAGACTTAATGACTAATATAAACCAAAAATAAGATAAATAAAGTGAAATTAAATAATTTTTACCTTTGTTCAAAATTCTTGAAGGATGAAACTGTTAAAGTAGAGCAAGTAATTAATAGTTATAATATTAAAAATATTTAATATAGATATAAATATATTCTTTTTTTTTCTGGTCATTTTTCATTAAGTGTTTCATTAAATGCTTATTAACGAAAATACCATAAAAAATGGGCTGCAACTTGATTGCGCACAATCTATAATTTTTACCTGAAAAATCGGAATTCGTTTAGGCACACGTTTATATTAAATGTATAACTAGATTGCGTACACGACAATAATTATATTTCATCTTGGTAAACAGATGTTCAAAATAATATTTACGTACTGGTAATTTTTTGTTTATTGAAGAGTAAGTCAATTTTAACATATTATACAATGTAGATAACAATTCAAGTTCTTTGTGCTCATACCCTTAACGAAGAACTAAACATTAAAGAGTTCCATGTAGATTTTGAGATATCTGCACACAATATTTTATCCCGGTTGTAAAATTGTCACTTGTACTTTTTATTTAGCTCAAAGTTGGTTTCGACACATTCAAAGTAAAAAAAAAATATTACTTGAGTATAATAACAAAAATTCCAATATTGGGAATTGGCTGAAGTTTTTTTGATTTGCCGTATTTACCCCCAGAAGAAGTAGAAAATGCCTTTACACTATTAATATCAGATTGCCCAGCGTTAGATTTATCATTTTTCGACTAAGTTCATGAAACGTATATACTTCCCGATTCAAAATGTAATCCTATGTTATGAGTAGGATATCCATAAGATAAACCTCAAACTACGAACGGTGTAGAATTCCATAGACATTTTATTCAACAATTCTACATTCCACATTCCCACATACATCAGGTAGTAAACGTAATTCTTAACATACAATCGGAAACCGAATTAAAAATAATATCAATCAACATAATTATAAATAATTATCGCCGTAAGGACTCAATAGAATCAGTTGAACATCGCACAAACTTATGGATAAAATATACATTTGGCGAAATAGACTAAATTAAATACATACAAATAATGGGAAACTATTATTACGAAAAATAATAGACACTTATATTATCTTACACGTATATTTACCTATCATATATTAAAATTAAAATCAACAATTATTAACATGCATATGTTTAAATTTAACCACACCTATGAATCATTCATAGACAATCCTAAATCTGTTAAAGAGGAAGGAAAATTGACTACAACTCGTTTACACACATTTACCTTTTTTACTACTCGTTTGCACAACTCAAATTGTACAAAATGTACAACTCGATTGTGCACATATATTTTGGCTACCTGTGACGAAAATCTCTAGTGTCAGAACTCGTTTGCTTATTATCGTTGATTATTATACTCCTTGTGATTATGATATTTGATTACTTTTATTATTTTATTTGATTTACTCGTATTAACAATAACACTCACAGGACATTTTTTATTAGTGCATCTAAAATTTGAACATCCACTCATTAAAACATGGTATTCACTAAATTTATAATTAGGATGTATGGCTACCCTCAATGTACACTTATTGACTAAATTAATTTATATATAAATTTTTATAAAATATAAATAAACTATCAGCATTAAATTAGGATCATGAATTAAATAAAATATGATTTAGTCCCTAATGATAGATAATATATCTTATATAATTTTTTATAAGATAACACTGCATACAATACTTTGAAAAAAATATTATTCGTGATTTTTGTGAAATCAAATCTCTTTTTTTACATTGTATTTTAATAAATGATTTAACAAGCAACATTATCTTTTACTCAGAACACATTATCAGTCTAAATTTTTAAATATAAAAATAGATGCAGCAAAGAAGATTAGGACCTTAGTTTACCCTTAAATTTTATTATAACTATTTATTTTTGAACACAACTTTTATAATAATATGTTATTTAAATTTATATTGAAAACAATAATTCTATAAAATTCACTCAATAATATTTATGTTAAAATCAACCCCATTCATAATAATGTAAATTTAAAAAAAAAAGGCATAAATTGAAATATTATTATTTTTTTTTTTAATACAAATAAATACTAATACTAAAAATTATAACACTGCATTTTATTGTTTTATTATTTTATTATATAACATTTTTACTTCTCTAAACATATAATTTGAATCCTAATTATTTTGGAGTTCAACACTAGATGATTTGAAATAAGGTTTTTTATGATGATGAACTGGTGGATAATAATAATTGTAAGCCTGTTCTGCACCAATAACAAGACCTGCTAATCCAAAAGCAATTGTAAGTCCTGGTTTACCACGACACCAACATTTGAAATATTGCTCGTAACGATTGTTATTAGCTGGAGGATATCTCCATACTTCATTTCTAAAATAAAACATGAGTTACTTTAAAACAATTATGAAGAAAAATAATACAATAAAATATATCAGATAGGTTAGATCCATTATATATATTACAATCACTCATTTTTTCAATAATAATAAATATAATTTACTTTATATATAGGTTTATTTATCAATATAATAATTTTTACTAACAGAAAATATACACAATATTTTAGCTAACACAATTTTTAAAATATTTTTTTCATATTTTTATGAAGTTATAAATCATAAAATTGGCTAATTAGTTTAATAAATATTATACTACATCATTAGTGGGCAACCAGGAGGTCACAACCCCTAAGGAGATTTTCAAATTTTATTGGGGGGTCACCAATAATTTAACACAAAATTAAAAGGTTATATATTATGTACCTATATTATTTGATATAACTTTATATTTTACTTAAGATTTTATACAACTCTAATTTTGTATGTTTTGTTTATGTTATCGAAGAAATATTAAAATTACCTAAAATTAACGATTTAATTTATATAAATAAAATGTTTGTATACATAAAGTAAGTATATATTATACACTTACATAATAATGGTAGGAAGGGAGCATTCGCCTCATTGAAATAAATTAATTCGAGGATCGTGGATCAAAAAAGGTTGTACACCTTTATACTACATGACAATCATGGTTATTTATACTGATTAGGATACATTTTTAAATAATAATGGAATATACATAAATATTAGTACACTACAATACATATTAATTGTTTCTATGCATAACTTAAATGTATGTTAGAGTGTCCGATAATAACTGTACCATATTGTGCCAAGTTCAGACTGTATCCATAATGAAAATATTGATTCACATTGAATATTTAATTATATTAGTAAAATCTAAAACTTACTTAAAATGGTAATTCGAGTTGAGAATGTTCAGAATTTGTATTCAATACTTATAAATATCATATTATACAACTATTTTTATGGCTATCATATAGTATGCGGTCTACTGGTGAATTTACAAGTATAGTATGCAGTCTACTGGCAATTTACAAATATAGTATGCGGTCTACTGTAAATAAATAAATTAAAATTATATCATAAAATAAAAATATAATTATTATAGTAGTAATAGTAAAAAATTAATAATTAAAAATTAGTTTGTCAAAAAAATTGTTGTCAATGAGTATAAATAAATATAATGTAAGAACACCTAATAATTGAATAAAAATCTTTTGCCGACATATTGAATGTATAAAATATAAATTGTATCACGCAATAAATGACATACTGAGCTATTGAGCCCATACTTTTACAAAATGTTGAAGTATCGTTATCTGTGTATAAGGCAATAAAGATAAAGTGTTGACCAAAGAAAAAGATTAAAGTGTATCTATTAAAAATGAACTTGAGCTTATGTAAAAACCGCAGGTAGACCGCATCCTACAGCGGCCGGTAGAACGCGATTGTTGGTAGACCATATACTATATAACAGCCATTTTTATTATAATTTTACCTCAACCATGGATCTTTTAATCCTTCAGCAGCTAGAATATTCTTCACCTTCACAAGATCTGGTACGTTATCTACTTTGTATATTCTATAATCCGGAATTTTGATTTCGGATTCATGATGACCACCCATTGCTTAATTATAAAAAAAATGTTTTCGTTAAAATAGAATAATACTTCTATAAGTATATAAACTAGAAAATATAAACTTACCATACAAAATATTAAAAATGAATTTTAATAGAATCAGAAAATCGTAATGTGCAAAGGCTAAATAAAATATTAGATGAAATTCGATTAGTTTTGATAACAGAAACTAGCATGATGAAACAGCTGACATCTTTCAAAGACAGTCCATAACATGGAAAATGCACTAAATTCATAACAAGGAAGTTCCATAGTTTGTGATATTAATAATAAATATCAAAACCTATATATATATATACTATATCCATGATCAAAAACTACAAATAAAATAATGAAGGTATAAACAAAACATTCTTATCTAAGGCGTGAACCAACATAATATTTTTAAATTATTCCCAGTTTTATTCTCTTAGTTTACTAAGTATTCTATGATATATTGTTTTCTACCGGAATTATTTGTTTTTTTTACAATAATATTTGCTTAACAATTTACTATAATATATTGCAATGAGTTCTGACAAAGTTGACTACCCTAAAGCATCTAGTAAGTGATATTATATTATTCATAGTTATCTATAATCAAATTATAAACTTATGCTGATTGACTAATATGTTTAATTTCCATTTAATACATTTTTTACACATTTTTTTGTATTGGAATTTTTTGTAACAAATAATAAATGTGTATGTATAAATAACAATTATAGACTATAACAAATAGCTATAATTTGTAAAACTTATTTAATTGTTCTTAATTTAAGACTTTTCTCAATGTGCAATTTTACTGAAAGTAAAACATTGATACTAATAATGAAGTAGACATTGGGAGTAAATCCAATAAAAAAATTAATTACCAAAGAAATAATAGTTAATTATATATTAAATTTAAAGAATTTATTTTAAGTTATATTTTGGTTTTTATTATATTTTAAGTCATGAGGATTTTTAAATAATTTGAATGTATGTTACAATGAAATATTCAATAAAATGTTTCCTGTTTCATTCTAGAGCTAATTAGTGATGCTGGTGTAATAGTTTATATTGGAGGATTTCTATTAGTTATTGCATTCTTAAGGTATTTATTATATATTTTAATATTTTAGATTTTAATGTGTTTAACATAATTTTAATATTTATAGCCCATATTGGATACAATCATATAATGATGCATTTATGAATTTTAAACACATGGGTTTATGGACTTACTGTTTTGACCATTTTCGTCATCCTCATTATCAATTTGACAAACTTTTTGATGGATGTAATTCAGTTTTTAATGAAGATACTTACGTGATTCGAGAATGGCTTTTACCGGGTAAAAAAAATTTTATGTTTACATTTATTTTTCCAGAAAATGTATTAATTATTATTGTTCTGTTCAAAGGATGGCTATTATCTTTGGAGCTTTTTATGACCTTAGCATTAGTGCTATCTCTTGGAACATTAGCAATAATTGCCGCAGTAATAACTAGATATCCACAGCGTATTGTACTTAAATATGAGTACATGCTTTCAGCTGCATGTTTTATAGCTACTTCAATATCTGGTTTGTAAATGTTAATAAATATTTATTGAATATATGTTAATATTTTCTGGTTTTTGTTTAGCTTTCTTAATATTTTTAACAGTAATCTTATTCCCATTCAACTGTTGGAGACGTGATTGGCTCATGTATCCTATGTATAATCACCTATCTTGGTCATTTTATACAGCAATTATATCAGGATTTGTGCATGCATATGGAGCGTGGTATTTATACAAGGTTTGTCATTTATCTTTTGTTCATTAAGTCACTACTAACAATATTTTATTTTCATCAGGATGCAAGAATCGCTTATGATCAAAGAAGGGAAAGTAAAAACTTAGTAATGCAAATGTATCCTCCTCATGAACGTAACTTTTATGATCAATAATCATTTTTTTTTTTTTTTTAATATATTTTAAATAATATCAAATCCATCCATAATTAAGTTAACAATCCGTCCATGTTAAACCATTAAATATTTAATTAATTTAATTGTTAATGATCTAATATTGTATTTCAGTATTATTTTAAGAACTGTTTTTAATTAAAGGCATTTTTTTTAGTAATAAGTTATAATTTTGTTAGTTTTCTTTTTTCTTTTTTTTTTAATTTTATTTGATAGTATGCAATCTGTACAATTTATTAGTACAATAAGCATATGCGTGCAATGTAAGATAAACAAAAAAAAATAACAAAAAACAGATGTAGAAGAAGTGATTAAAGGAGCCAGCCATTAGTGATACTTTAGCTGTTAGTTTTCTAAAAGAATTAATTACAAACTACATTATATGGTATTGTTATATTTTATTATTTGCATGTACATTGTTCATGGATGAAGTTAATATTTTAGGAAAAATATATATTAGTACTTTCTGAATAAATATAATCATTAATTTGATTTTCTTTCAATTAATAATAACTTCAAATTATATAATACACCTACTGCACCAATCACCTTTTTTTTAATAAATGCATAGTCATTTGCTTAAATATAAAATTAATTTTTATGGATTATTTCAAAAATAAATAAGTATCAGGGATATTTATACTAATAATTGTAAGTAGCGTTAAAATGCACTTCATCCTATGAATCTCTATTATTATTTTATTTTCAAAAATGTAATTATGAAAGCTATTTATAATAACTTTAAAATTATCATACTATGTTAGTTGTACTAAGTAATTTGTAATATAGTGTTCAATATATACTGTATTTATACTATTCATAACTATATATTTTTCTATTTTTAGGATAATCCGTTTTTTTTATATAAATATTAGTATTATATATACATATATAATTTAAGCTTATTTAAGTCAAAATATTTCTGATGAATATTGAAATAGAAGTGATAGTAATTTTATTTGATTATTACTGGTTAACTGGTTTCTTGGTAATATAATTTCTAAAAAAAACTACAAAATTAAATTTATTAGATGATTTAAGAATTCAAGTATAACAAAACGAACACCATTTTGGAAACACTTTATAATATATTCTTAAATAAAAAATTGTTGGTCTTAAATTAAGAAAACTAAATGAATAACCTAGTTGTCAAATTGGAGGCTAGAATTTTTTTTATAAGCCTGTATGCATACTGAAGAGAAAAGAACAAACAAACAAGGAGCAATACACAGCCAAATTACCAAAAAATTTATATTAAATGGGTGGGGAAAAGTTTTAGGTCCTTTTATCATTTTCCTTGATTTGTTTTGTTTGAGAAACTTATATAACTGGTAGAGGGCAATATTTGACGCTAGTTCCCATTTACTATGAATAGGTCCTTTAACTTAAAGATGTTTTCTACGAATATAAAATGTAATATAATAATATATTTTTGTATAAGTAATGTAATAGTCAAAATTATAAAAAATTGATTAATCGAATACTTATTTCAATAAATGTATTTAATATATATAAGCTTATTTATTCAATCCAAGAATTAATTTTATTCTGTATCTAGCATATCCGGGAGATCCCGTATTAGATATTATTTTAAAATTTAATAAGAAGGTATTAATAGAATAATTTAATTACCAATAGCTAATAATAGTGATACCTTGATAATATTGTACTGTACTATCTGTATTACGGATGAAATTTATATCATTCAAGTTATTCAACTATTGTGTTCGGTGTTCAGTTTGTTCAGTCGTCACTCGTCTATGTTTGTCTAATTGTTGTCAAATGTTTAATATTTATTTTTTATACTAATATACTTATAGTTTTAATGTGCATACGTTTTCTTTAATTAGTTAATTCATAGTTGAAATTCAAAATTTCAAAATAATAATCATGATTTTTTTTTTTATATTTATTATTTTATTATAAGGTCCTTAGAGCCTAGGCAATTTATTAAATTTAATAATACATTATTATTTATTACTTTTAAAATTAATTATTATCATACTGTTTTATCATTTATCTTTTTTCCATTTTTTTATGAACTACCTATATATTGTAATTTAATCTATATCACTGTACCCTATATTTTGTAAACAATATGTAATTGGGAAATCATGTCCCCAAAAAAGGTCATAGTCACATTTAATTTGCGGCCTGTGTACTTTTATAACAGGTATCTAAAAGCTTTTGAATTTTAAATAACGATAAACGCAAAAATTGTATAACGTTTTAATTCTGAATAACGATAAATACAAAAGTTGAATAACGTTTAAATTTTGAATAACAATAAACTCAAAATTTGTGTAACGTTTTGATTATAAATAATGTAAAACAAATTTTTTTTTTCAAATACAAGCTCTGATTGTAATATTTTAAAGAAAATGTATGAAATTATTTTATCATGTAATTTAATAATTATATACTATTTGAGTTTTATAGTCCATGACAAATACTAAATACTGTATTTCTATAGCAGCACATACCATAAGAGGGCCTACAAAATTTTCTACATTTTATTAATTAAAACTACTTTTCGTTTTATAGCCACAAATTGAGTAATCAATAATATAAATAAAATTTTATTCCACCATCTGAAGTATGAGAATTTTATCTATAGCCGATAGTGAAGTTTTTTTTCTATCCCTATATTATTACTATTTAAAAATATGGGGTTAAAAACTAAATTTTCAAAATTTTGATATAAAAAATTTTTTTTTAAGTTTAAAAAAAATAAAAACTCAATGCTCAGATGTTGTAAATATTTTCTTCTTTCATAATCCATAATAATTTTGTTTCTATGATTAATACAAAGGAATCTGTAAGCTTAGAGTGTAAACGTGTTTTATTACATTTAAAATGGATGTGTAGCGTCCATCTTCTTAAGTATTCGCTTCTCCATTAACCCAACTTTTATTTAAGTTGGTATTTAATATTTGGTTTGAAATGAAAAAAATTATATTCACAAGATATGTTAGTTTAGCTTATAAGACATGGAAAGTAACAAAAAAATAATTGTAACTAATACATTTATCCAAGTATATAAATGGTACAAAACAATAAAAAGTAAAATTCATTCACTCTTATTAACTAAAATTATTTAAAAACATTTTATTTTTATAAAAATACAACAAATGAAGAAAAATATTCAGTTGGGTAATTTATAGGTTAACTAAAAATATTAAAAATCAATAATCAACTTCAATAATAAAAAATATATTACATATTTTATATAAAATATAAGTCCACTTATGAAAATTCTATTGTTATATAAATAACATAATAATATCACTATAAAAACAATTAAAATATAAAGTATATATTGGAATTAACATGTACTGAAGACTTAAGTGCAATCAATGAGTTTACTGTTTTAATAGTCTGAATAAAGATACATAAATAGTTAACCCAAATAAATTGTAAATTTTATATATATATATATATTTTTTAAGTACAATTGTTTATCAAAAAAAATGTTTCTGTTCATAATTCATTGTGTCATAAAAATATATACTGTGAATAATACATTTCTTTTTTTAATAAAAATAAATTATAATTAATGTGAAATAAAAATAAATACTTCTGAAAATTACAATAATAACAATTATTAAAAAAAAAAAAAAAAAAACACCATATAAGATTATAATATAATAAAATATTTTTATAAATGTAGCCAATATTAAACATTTTAGAATTTCAGGATCAATAATTTTTCACATTTTTGAAATGACACTAGACGTAGAAAAAAAATTTAATTACAGAACTAATAAAAATAGAATTTATTGCATTAATAAATAAGTTACATTTTTATCATAAAATAGTTTTTACTATTGTAATTGAGTGAGCTAAGTAACATAAATTTCAAATAAACATACAGATAAAATACAATTTGTCGCAATGACTAGTTTTGAATTCTACTAAAATGCTGTGAGAAAATAGTTAAACTGTAGTTTATGAGTGTCAATTTTTAATAAATTTGCATTTCTTTGGCTTAATATTAAAAATAGGTTCAATCAGTATTTATAAGTCTATTTTATTCTAACAAAAAATACATACACTTTAAGGGTCAAGAAGTTCAGATCCTTAATAAAAATCCTCAATCAATAATAAATCGACAAATAAAAAAGTTATAATTTTTTCCTGTTTAAAAATAAATGAAAAGTATCATGATTTGAATCATAAATAAAAAATATATAATTCTGCATCATTTTCAAAACATGACTAATGGATAATTATAATTTTATTTTCAAACAAGTCTTTTTAATAGAACTATCGATTGTTAGTCACATAATTACCCTACCCTGGTTAAAATAATAATAATTAAATATAATGCATTTAAAATTTCCTATAAAAAAATATTGCAATCACTAATGGGCGACATAAAAATGTATTTCTAACAATTTCATTAATTTATAATACTTACAACTTACTTAAAAAACTTTAATATTCCACTTTGGAATGATTATTATAATTAACACTAATGTTATAGTCATATCACATGTGATCATTGGAGGGGTAATGTTACTGTAACATAAATTTGCATTTGGTAGTGGGTAACTCCAGTATTTTTGTATATATTTTCAAAATTTCCATTAATCCACTCCAGCAAAACCTTGTGAGCCTTCAATTGCTTTAATTAATTTGTTTCGCAATTCATGATAACTTTCATAAGGTGGAAGATCCAACCTATTAAAACTACAATAAAAAATGTAATTTAACATCAAAATTAAGATATTAAACACACAAATAACTTTTATTTTTACCAGGTATGTGCCCTAGGATAATTTTCTTTGGTACCCCATCTTTCAATTGTAAATAACTGTGGTCCATTACTACCATATAATTCTTTGAATCCATTCATTGGAACTCTAGATGTACCCGTTACAAACTGTAAGAGCCTAGATCTCATTTCATTATTGAACGACAAGACGCCCTAGAATAATGATAGTATAATAATAGTAATAATAAAAATATATAAAAATATATAAAAGATAGTTTAGAGTAAAAGACATTAGTTAAATATTTAATTATTAAAACAATATAATTAAAAATACTTAATTTTTTTAAAATTAATATTGTATTTAAAATTCTGGGATACAATATACCTAATTTTAAACAAATTAATTATAAATATTAAATATACATACTCGCCAAAACCATTGAATAACAATGTTGTTGGGTGAATAATCACCCTTATAATGAGTATTTTCTTTCCAGTCTTTTACATCAATATTTTGAATACCGCACATTAAAAGTTCCATTTCATTTTCATCAAATATTTTAATGTAGCTTAAAGGTACTATGGAACCAAAACCTTGTAGGAAAGCATTCATTTGTTCTTGTATACGGGATACAAATCTCCACTGAATTACTAAACTAAATTTAATAATCCAATTATATTAATAATTTTCAATTGAATAAATAATTTATTTAAACTTACCTAATGTATTCATCTTTATTTTCTTGTGTTAGATGAATATTTGCACCATCAGGTTTCAATTCCCTATGTGATGTATGTCCTAAACTGTCTTCGTCGAGCGAAAATGTTAAATCTAATTCAGAAGGATCATTTTCTTTAATCCATAGAAGTGAATTATAATACTCAGAATCAACACTTTCCATGTCTTTCAACTCAATAGGTTTCTCCAACATCATTTTATAAAATGGACGAATGAAAAATGCTGAAAAGTATAAGTAATAAAAAACAAAACAATCACATATATAAGTAAATAATTTATTAATAATAATATTAATATAATAAATAATCACCATCCAAAAGTTTTCCATGATAAACAGCCATACCAGCAACAGTTCCTATAAATTTGAAATAGTGAAGATGTTCTTCATTGCATAGACCTGACATTGCATTAATTTGCAATGTATAATTATCCATAGCAGAATATTCAAAAAGGCCATAATATGGATTAAACATTTCTTTAGATAATAAAAAAAACCATTCTCTAGCAAGACCACCATAATCGAGTCCAACTTCTTGCTCAAATTCAACCCATAGTTTTGCTCTTAATTTGTCTGGATGCATTGAATTAATAATTCGGAAAGAGTCTTCTAGAATATTAGATCGTCGTACCTTAATCTCCATTTTAGCTGGTGGTCCATGTGCCTAATAATTAAGGTTTTTATTAACAAAATACATCAAAATACTATTTATATCTAAAAAGTTGATATATAAGTTCAGACAGTCAACGTATTACGTAACCATTTAAAGTAATACCACTTAGGTAAGAACTTTGACAAGATTTAAGAATCTATTTTCACAATAATATTTCACTACGATATCACAAAATATATATAAATAATAATTTAATTAAAATAAATTTTGTTTTTTATTAGCTATGTTCTTGAGTACTACGAAAGAAAATGCAAAAGCTACAAAATCCTAACCTTACTGATAAGAAAAAAAAAATTTACTTCAGAATAAATTTTAAATTATGAGTTAAAAATAAAAATTTCGAAATTCAAGACAATAAGAAAGCTACAAATGTGGGTTATACATATAAGAAGCATATATTTATAGTAAATATTATGAGTATTCATTTTAGATTTATTTACCATTTTACTCAGTCTTGTTTTGAGAGACTCATATTTCCTTTTATAATCCCTTGAGTAAGGTAATGCCTGGAAAAATAAATATGTATATTAATTAAAACATAAAATATAAACAAAAATTATCAAACTTACGGGACCAGCAATCTTAGGATTATTTAATCTTGGATCTTCCCATTGAGTTGTTCTTGTGTCTAAAAATTAAAATTTCTTTATGATATTTTAATGTAGAATTAGATTTAATATTTAAAATTGTAACTGCTACTTATTTTATTAATTAATATATAATAAATACTATTTTTAAAGTTTAATGTTTTAAAGTATTATACAATTTTAACATGAAATACTCAAATTACTTTTATTATTATATCTTAAATCCCTTAACCAATAACAACATTTTTTTAAAAAAATGGTAAAGAAACATTCCTAGCAATATTTTTAATTTCTGCTAATTAAAAAGAATTTTATTTAGATAAGCTCCATTTCAATATTAAAAAAAAAACAAAAAAAATGTGCTATAATTCTTATAACATTTTAATCTATGCATCTAGGATGTTAATAAATATTTGTGGTATAATTTATATTACATTTAATATTATTTATATTTATTTTATATGTTTTGTATGTTACTCATAAACCACCACTAATTACTACTATAATAAAAAAATAAAATAAAATTATAGATTTTCTTACTATGGTCAATAAAAAATATTCTTCCATCCGCATGAACTCTTTCTTCCCACCCTTCTGGCAAAGGTTCCAACTCATCATTATAAGCAGATGTAGAAACTACACAATCTGTTACAGGTGGTTGACTTTGATTAGGCATAGAACTTGCTCGACCAGTTCTAGGATCTACCCAAGTTGTAGCTCTAGTATTATGATCGATAAAAAATGTCCGACCATTAGGAGCCACTTGCATTGACCATCCTTTAGGTAAACCTTCAGATCCTTCTGAAATATCTTCTTGAACCAGAGCAGTACTACTTTGTTCATTATTTAAATCAACTTCATCACTCTGAAACATAGATAAAAAAAGTTGTAACACCAATTACCAAAAATAATCGAGATAATAATAAAATATTTGTGATCTTTGTAATTTCTTTGAACAATGTAAAAATATATATTAACTAAGGTATAAATAATAGAAATCAATCAAGTATTAACTAATATTTATTCAAATATACCTGATTCTGATTAGCTGTAACCGATACACTGGAAAGACGACGATCAACGTTAGTAAGTGGATCAGACTCTTCATATCCTTCATCACTTTCATCATCTGCATCACTATGAACAACCTTTTAACATGCAATGTTATAAATCAGTTTTAGAAAATCTTAAAAATTATGTACAGAAACTTTTAAGAAATTTATTATAGTTATAACCCTACCTCATCTAATTTTTTTATTTATTTTTTTACAATTAGATGATAATTATTATTCATTGATAATATAACTTACTATACTAAAATTTTGAATTGTTATTGATTTATACATAATATTATGTGTCATAATTGATAAATATAATATTTTATTAATAATATTATTCAAATTATATCGGTACATTAAAAATCTTTTAGGTTTATTTATTTTTTGTAATTAAATGTATTTACAGTCAAAACACATTAACATAGAACAGTGGTATCAAAGATTATATTGAGATATGGTTGTGACCTGATCATTTTTTTTTTTTTTTTCACAACGATACTGTATACTTAAATGACTTATATTTCTCTCGCATTAACTACCATTTATTTTAAAATCAAGTATTTTGAATTGATACTTATTTCTAAATTATAATGTTATATTATGAATAGTAAGCTCTATATAATAAACCTCTTTTCTATAATCTATAATCTATATTCTATAATCAATAATTAATATTAAAATAAATGAGAGAAAAGAGACTACTAGATTAAAAAAACAAGAGCTAAATTCACCATTCCAGTTTATCTGCTTAAATATTTTATAAAAATGTGCAACTGATATAAAATACAGTTGCAACTAATTATTTTCACCTTTTTCTGGGTAGGATCACCTTTATCAGTTTCTGGTGTATCTACACTGATATGGTATCTTCTTTCGAATTCAGTAGCTGCCAAAGCCAAATTTTGAATTGTATTTGCATCAGTTTGAACACTAGAATAATACAATAAATTAATTCATTTTTAAATAATGTTTATGCATAATAAAAAATAGTAATATAACTAATTATTGCATAATTTTATATTGTTATTGATATTAAACAAATATTTTAAGTTTATTTTAAGTGCTATTCAGAACATTTTTAATTAATTAAATTTACTTTGTTAAGAAAATATAAACTTAATGACAATTTTATTTGTTGTGAATAATGATTTATTTACATAATATATCGCACCATCAGTGCAAGAGGGCCGTATATCAAACAATTTCAAATTTAAATTTTTGGTATCTTTGAATTTGTATTTTTTCTTTTTTTTTTTTTAGAGTGGCGCAATCTAAGCAATTATATTTTTAAATCATCAGTTGTATAAATAAACTTATTGCACTAAGACAGATCAAGAGTAGCTGAAAACAATAAAGCTGTAATACAAAATGTAGCCTTTTAATTATACTTGTTGATAACAATATTATAAGAACATTACTGGTGCAGTTAGTCATATTGATATTTAGAAGAAAAAAATTACAAATTACTATAAATTATCAAACATTAGAAATGCTCTCCTGAACATTTTAATATTTTTAATATATGTCCCCCTTGCACTGATAGTATGATATATTTGATGGCTTTTAATTGATAATGAATCAAAATACTTATATAAAAAACTATTGTATTATACACTTTTAACTCACGTCATAGATGTTGGTCTTTCCCATTGAGTAGATCTAGCTAAATGATTTACATAATATGTTCTTCCATTTGCATCTTGTCGTTCTTCCCAACCAGTAGGTAAAACTCCTTGTGGTTCAATTACATTTGGTGTATAAGTCTATAAAAAAGTTTAATAATTTATAAATAAAATATAAATTGATTAAACAATATTTATTACTTACTGAAGGTGTATGGGAAATATTTAAAACTTCAGCATTTTCAATCATTTCCCATTCTCCATCAGCAGACAAACGTCCAGAAGTTCCCGGTTCATGTTCTGGAACGTAAGCTAGATACAATTCAAGGTAACCTTTTACTCTTGATCTTGCACTAAAATAAAATTAATATTTTTATTATAGTATTTTAAATTTAACTTAAAGAATATTAAAAAATTATACTATACCTTCTAGGTTTTAGTACATATCGAACACTGCATATATTTCTACCAATTATTTCTTTTGGTAAATTATTTAATGGTACTTCAACCATCCCTAGAAAATCATCCCGAGTAAGACGATTTTCATCAAACACTTGTAGAACTAGTTTATGTTCATGAGGACGAACCTATAGGTAAAATATAATTTTTAACAAATTGAATAGCAAATTAATTTAGAAGAAAAAAATGCATTCTATAAACTAATATATTTGTAACAATGAAATTATTAGCTGTAACTTTAACTTCTTTGTATTATTATTTACACAACTCCATGCATTAAGAAAATATAATGTATACTTTTGAATAACTTACTCGAAATACAAATTCTTCATTCCAAACGGGATTTAAGGTCTGAAAATTTAAAGCATGTTAATTATGAACATTTTTAGATTTATCTACTTATCAATTTATAATATATAATTTAAATTTGAAATGTTATCATAAAGAACTTCTAATTTTACAGTCTTAGAATTTGAATGAAATATTATTTATCAAACAAAATTAATTTTCATTGTTTCAAATTTAAAAAAGTCCAGTTACTAACAATATGCAAATAACTGAAGTTATTCAAAACTAGTATCTGAAAATATTTTTCAAATACATTTTATTCTAATTATAAAATAGCTATTACTATAAAATAAGCCTTTTAAAAAAGAAAATATAATATTTAATTTGTACTTCAGAAGCACATAAACCTATCTCCTCATTAAATAAAGAAAATTCCTAATACTATCCAATAAGTCTTGAAAATGGCTACTTTCATTCAAAATTTTCTAGCTATTTACGAACAGTATACACTAAATTAAAATACCTAGTTTATATATTATTAAAATATTTTATCATTTTAATAAATTTAGGATCTTATTACTTATTTTCAAAATTTTACAAACCATATTTAAGAATTCTACAAACTTTGGAATACAATATTAATTAATTGATATACAATATTAATATTATTCTAACCAGCGGCGTAGTTATGGGGAGAGTGTAAGGGGTTTCCACCCCCCCCACAGATTTTTTTTTAATGATATTTGATTAATATTTATTAATATTTACATATTATAGTAAAATATTTGGTTTTTACTATGATTAGGTATATATTAAAAATTGAGTAACAAAATAATTTTCATTAAATACGGGACATAATAATAAAACCATTTTAAATGTAATAATATAACATATGACCTCGTTTTAAGATATACTAAAAACACTTAAAAACTTACTCTTAAACACCCCTCCCCCCCAGAAAAAAATTGTATCTACGCCACTGATTCTAACTATTGAATATAGTTATGCCCGATTCACATGGACGCATAATATACGCGCGCATATGAAAACTTGCAGAATGAAGTGTATCAAAAGTTGACCTTTGTGTTCACAGATATACGTACTTACGCGACGCGCAATGTTTGCCGATTTGCGGGAACACGAAGACAAATTTTTTAATAATTTTTGGATATCCATCAGAAATTTAGATGAATTACTATACAACTTTTATTATTATTCAACAATTTTTTAACACGTATTTTATTTATAGGTCGTGAAATTTAATATAATAATATGTATTAATTTATATTATAATAATCCATATATAATATATTAAAATATAATTAATTAATATAGTTTGATAATTAATTTAATTAATTAATTCATATAATTGATACCCAATAATTTACCATATCCTGCACGGATAGGATATCAACTCCGGACCTATGAACTAAGATTTTGTAGCCCATTATTTTGGAATTTTATTTACAATACTTTAGTTTGATTGAATAATATTTTTCTAAAAAAATTGTATACGAATTGACTGCACAAACAAGGTATAAACGTTTTCGGACCTATGAGCTTGGAAAATGTATACTCAATTGATTAAAATTTGATCAGCGAACGTATGTGAAACCTATCAAACAAACAATAGCTGTAACGCGCGCGCATATGAAACGTACCGCGTCCGGGAAGACACGATTCCCTTGCGTATTAAAAAACACGCTGCGTATCATACGCGTCCATGTGAAACTGCGAACTTATATAATGTAATTCAGAACGCGACGTATGGTACGCGAGCATATGATATGCATCCGTGTGAAACGGACCTTATTTATATTATATCTGAAATATAACAGTCATTTGATTGACATAAGTCCTAATGTCATTAATAATCAATAATTTACTTTTGTACCATATGTGATATTGCTAAACTCTAATTGATGACTGACTAGTATAATTATTTTTTATTAAAATATAGTGTACATATCATTAGCATTAAAATATCCATTTACATAAAGTAATAATTATACAATCATAAAGAAATAGTATGAAATGATACACTTACCTTTTTTTTAGTTTTAGTTAAAACAGAGTCTATTGTTACATTTCCAACAATAGTATTTAATTCAATTCTTACATAAGGATCACTAAAAATAAATGTTGATAAAAGTAAAATATTTTTTAATCAAATTAATGTATATAAAAATTTATTTACCTTGCACCAAATATATCTTTTTTTGCAAGAGAATGGCCAGCAACCACTCGTAATCTAAGTAATGGATCTTGATTCTAAAATAAAATACAAATTACTAGTTTTATTATATAATTATTTAAATATGATAAATTTTTAATAAAAAATGATATAATAATGTTTCATAGTTATACTATGTAAACATTATTTTATAACATAGTCAATTCACAATTATTTGAACCTCATAAGTACTGAAGTAACTTAGAGCCGTATTCATAGTATTTTAAGACCTAAGTTTAGACTCTTTTTCTTATTTATGGGCCAGTACTTAATATTACCTAATAAGTATGAATGATATAGTTATAAACATTAAGATCTTGGGTGGAACCTAGGGCATCTAAAATTTCTGGGATAGTGAGCCAATACTTAATCCAATCAACTAAATGTGTTCAAATTAAAATTAATTTTTAGGTTCTTTCAAATACATTTTTTAAATATTTTCTTAAAATATAAAACATTATAATGAAATATTAGCAGTTAATGGTATGAAAATAATAGTAACCGATACATTCTATTTACTAAACAATAAAAACTCTTATAAAAAAGCAAAAAAAAAAAAAAAAAAGTCTAAACAATTTTGTTGTTAATTACATTAAGAACTTAATTAATAAATGTAAGCCCAAAAAAGCATAACTGATACACAACAAATCTCAATTAATAAATTCATTTTTCACAACTAACTGTCAAATTAATTAACCAAATTTTTGTAAATATTATGTATAATATTATTATATATAATATATATTCAATTTACAAAAAAGAAAGTTTTAACTTTTTGTGGCAAAATATGATAAATTAATTTCATTTGATGTGATAGTTTAACACTGAATAATTTGTCTTGTTTAAAAACATACTATTTAGATCTCTTAATAAAAACATAAATTGTTCATTAATAATTCACATACATTTTACAGGCTTATTTCACTGGATATATTGATATTCTTTGATAGTTTTTTTTGCAACACATTATTTTTATGTTAATTCCAGAATTTTTACAGAATTCTTTATTTTTCATAACTACTATAGGATGAATATTATTTCTGATACACTTAATTTTATTATATAAACAAAATTTTCAGAAATTGAAAAATAAAATATATAGAATAATCTGAATAATTTAATAAAGATAAACCAATGAAGGGTTTACACTTCACAGAAACTAAACTTCCAATATTTTTTTTTTTTATAAGGCTTAGTATAGGCCACTAAGGCCCTTTGCCGCAATTACCACCTCCTCCCATCGTTCTCTATCCTTTACTATCTCTTCCGGATTCTCAACTTCTATTAGCCTTAGGTCTTGATACTCGTGATATAACTTCCAAAATTTATAAAATAATAATGCATTAATGATTCAATTTTATATTCTTTGTTAAGCAAGTTAGAAGTTATTTATATTTAATTAAAATTCCACTCTAAGTAATTTTCTAAATACATCATGATTTCGAAACTTTCAATGAAGAAAAGTGGTCGATAAAGTTAATTATACTTTAATATATAACCTGTTTTATATGCTTTAAATAAACTAGTTATTCATCATAAAAAATTTGAAGTAATGAAAAACGTAGTTTATAATTTTTTAAATATTGTAAGTTCCATGGTTAGAAAACAATTGACAAGGATAGCTAAATAAAATAAAATTGCTTACGTGTGATTTTAATGTTCTTTATGATTAAGTCTGCATTTGACAAATAAAAAACAAAAACATATATATTGTTTAAAAAAAGTATAAAATATAAAAAAAAAATTTAAAGTATTTTTTTAACTTTATGCAATTTTAAAAGAATTTAAATTCAGTTCTTATAAAAGAACTAAATATATATATAAATATATTATATATATATTAAATATATTATATATAATTATAAATAAAAGAAGATAATTGAAAAAAAAACATATAATTTTAATAATAGAAACTGTCAACAATAATCAAGAGCACTGTATAACAAACCAAAATATTATTTTTTAATTAAAATACTACTTATATTTACCATTTTGGTTATACCATTAATAGATATGTAATAATGATTGCATCGTAAATATAATTTACAACTTACTGAACTTAACACACATTTTATCTAACAATATTATAAATATTTTCCTGTTTGGATATATTCATATCTCCATTGAAGAGTAAACTGAATTTATGATCCATTGCAGGCTTTATCTATACAATGGTGCCAAATTTTCAGTAAATTATTAGGAATTTTAATTACATACATTTATGAAATCTATAATTAATTAAAATTATTCAACTTTTAAATTTGAAACCTTACTAGTATTAAAAACTCCATATAGACCAATATCTTAATTGGGAGATGATTTCAAGATTAAGGATATTTTTTTAGATAATGAGGTATAATTATAAAATACTTATAAAATATAGAGAATTCCATAGAATCTAATTTAGACTAAGTCAGATCAAAGAAAACAATATCAAAAATCATTATGAAATATGAATCACTATTAAAGATTTGAATGGATAAAAATATTAATATTTATTTGGATATAGATTCTATCAAAAAAAACTATATATTAGACTTTGACAAAGGAAATTAAAATTCAAGTATACTAAGAAATTTTTAATCTCAATAAGTACCTATATTATTGCTCTAGATATTTCATCCCTCAAACTGTTCTTTGTTGATTTCACGTTAATTTCAAATGAGTTTTAAACTATAAACATTTTACTAAGAGATATTTAATTTAATTTAATCTTTATTTTCCTACTAAATTTATAATCAAACATACAGTCCATTAACATACATCAACTTAATATGTTTTGGTTGAATATTTTATTAAAATATTATTATATTTATGCAACCAATACTTAAATAATATGATAAAAATATGTTTATACCAAAATATTTAACATCAACTACCTATATTTAGCTTACACTATTAAGTATTTACTAATTGTTATTAAAATCAATATAATTAATCTCAGAATGTTCAGAACTTTTGTATGCGTTCACTATACAAATGCATAAGTTTACAATAATTTACAAAATTAGCATTAATAAAAAGTTAACATTTATCATAAAAACTTATTGCAGCTAAATAGTAGGAATATATATATGTATAATTATGAATATATAAATAGTAATAGTAAATACTAAAAAATGTAGAGAAATATAGTTACTCTTTAACTAAATTTCTTTACATTTTTTACTATTATTTGTAATTTATTTCAATTAGGTACATGAAGAATTGTAAGATTTGTAGATTAAATAAAATTAATTATTGTTAACTAAATAAACATTACTAATTTAAGGAGAACAATTCAAATAGGTTTCTTAATTTTGACATATCATCAAAAATAATGTTTGTTTTTGAATAAAACTCACAGTTAGTGTCGCTTCCATTTTTCAAAATCGATTCAACCTAATATTTTTAAGTTGTACTAAAATCACTAGTATTAACTATCACTGATACATTGACGCATATTTGCAATTATCAATTATAATTCTATGACTATTATTTTACTAAAATATGTGACAATTTAAAGAGTAAAGTAATATTTATGATAGACTGATATAAAAAAAAACACTGAACAGTGACCATTGGACGAGGTTCACCATATGTTTTCCAGTATCTACAAATCATCAACACAAAAATGTCGTGGGTGTATTCTAACTAAAATTGCAATAGAACTGCACTATTATTTATCATTTTTTAATTGTAAAAAATATTTGTTATTCTGAATTTTTATTTTAGATTTGGAGAATCAAGAATTTATTGGTTTAATTTACAATATGATTTTTATTTGTTTAAATCTATGACGACTTTGTCCAGAAAGCTTGTTCATCCAATCATTGAATGAAGGGGGGGGGGGGGATTCTGATACAAAATGTTTTCTATTTGGTGCTTCAAAGGATCATTTTTAAAATTGGTTCTACAGTTTTTCCAATAATTGTGAAAAACGACTAAGAAATTGACAACAATCATGGAATACTGGTTTTTAATAAAATCAATATCTTTTTATCGAAACTCAAAATTGAATACCTAATTATAATTAAATTGAAGTTTTAACCAATTAATTTTAATACCATTATCTAGAAACCGAATAATGAAAATGCTATTTATGGATGTTTGAAATTTTAGTACTCTCAACTCTTTATTCATAAATTCTTGATAAAGTTAACTTTTTTTTACAAGTTTCTACATTTTTTATTCTTACAAAACTATAAAATCCTAAGATCTACAAAACATAAAACTTTTAATTTTTTAATTTTAGCAATAAAAATAAGTTATTGGAATTATAAACAATTACTAAGAACGTAAGCGAGACGTACAACTTTATGAAATGTATTATTGTAAAGAAAAATAGGAAATCGACGTCCCGCTTTATTGTAAAGCGGAATTCGGCGCATGAAAAAAGTAATAGTCGATAAGATAAGTAGATACTTTTTTTTAAATTATAATTTATACCAGTGACTCTTAACGTGGGCGGTACCACACTCTATAGGGGCATTTTGGTCACTTGAAGGGACGGTAAGTTTGATTAGGGCGTTGAAAGTAGGTACAGTAAGAATTCTACTGTAAAATACTAGGAAAAATAAGAAACACTAGTGTCTAGTGAAACGTATTGTCGCACGTTTATACGTTGTTGTTTTCATATAGTTCACCTTTATACAACAAAACATTGACCTTAACTTGAAAGAAACAGTTAATCTTCCTAAAGCCACTGTTTCTACTATTCAAAAATTTCAGGAAAACATAACTAATTAGTTTTAATAGTTGTTTAAAAGAGTTGAGATAAAGATAACATATCCCCCCTGATTAACTAAGATAGCTGCAAATTTAATTTATAAAATAGTTTTACTTCAGAAAATAGCTTAGCAAAAGTCTTGTAAACTTGATTTTGTATTCTGATTTATAATATTATAATTTAAATGTAATTTTAACAAATATTTTGTAATACACAAATTGTACATTATTTATTTATATCTCATTTGAATATTGATTCTTATAGAAATATTAAATAACTTTCCCATGTCATCCACGCTGACTAATGTTAAACATTACGTCGATAATAAAA